TTCTTTTTGTAGTCTCCTCCTATGCTTGCAGGGGTCCCCTCTATATAGTCTTAGGGCCTCGTTAGACACTCCTTGCTACGAGTTCCTTGCGCCACAAGGAATTTTCCTTGTGGCTCGTAACGGAATTTGGGCTCTTCGTTCCACCTGTCCCCAGAGTCGAAGAGGTAAACCGATGCTGCATGGAGGGAACCTCAAAAACGACCCAAACCCAAACCCGCCGCGCTATGAGAAATGAGAAAAAGAGGGGGTGGCAAAATCAAAAGAATCGAGGGGTCACGCATGACAAAAAGAAGAGGGGGCGAAAAAGAAAAAAAACGAACGTAGCCTCGAACTAGAAATCCCGGGCGGCGCCTGCCAACACCACCGGACGACCTCCGCGACAGACCGTTGGTAGCCTGCTTTCAAAGCTCTAGGCCTACCGCTTCACGGACCGGTCTCTTCCCCGACAACGACCGTGTACCTTCTCCACGCCCAATAAACCCCGTTAGACCCGATTAGACGTCGTCGACATTTCCTAAAAAGGCCACGCCGCTACGCGATAAAATGCAACCGGGTATAGCGCAGCCTCCTGGCTGCGAACAGTTGTGCTTCAGGCCTTCAGCCAATAGGGTGCCGCCACGATCCAGATTCTCAGCTGTAACGTCTTTCTACCCGTGTGCCCCTCTCCTCTCCATGAAATGCGGATTCCTTGTGCCCAAGGGACCTCACGAGGTCCCTTGAGCACAAGGAAGAAATGGCTGGGGCCACAAGGATGCCACAAGGAATTTTCCTTGTGGCGTTGTCACATTTCTTTTCCAATTTCGTCCCCAAGGACAGGGGCGAGGTCCCATCAGCAGTGGGATAGGAGTGTGGCCGATCCAGTGTGACATTGAGTGGGGCAGCGGCCAGACAAGTTCATTACAAATTTCTGGGCTGAGAAAACAGGAAAAAGGCCAAAAAAAAGAAAAAAAGAAACAGAGACCTCCCACCGGAAATCAAGGTAGAGTGCTTCCCATCCATCAGATCACAAATGATTTGATGGTGGTGGTTGCAAAAACAGTGAACAGAGTAACCACCACATTTTCTGGAATAAACTCGACTTCTGGCAGCAGTGATCCTGACACCCTCCATATACTCCGTGATTGAAGGAGGGCTCCACCCAATGAGATAATTGCACAACAGCAAGTAAAATGCTGAAAATCTTCTATCCAGTGGGCTAAGGCCGACCCCAACCTCGTTTGGGGTTGGCCACACCCCCAACCCATTGAGAAGATTCTGGCGGGAAGCTGTCTTTGCACGGGCATGCCCAGTGTTAAGGAGAGGAGGAGGGGATTCCGAACAAAGATCTCCTTACTTTTTCGGGTAATACATGTAAAATACTGACCGTGGGATCACGAGTACTGCACGGCAGGATGTGGGTCACTCAACTGCCCCACAAACTCGTTTCTATCCTATCCCTTTGCTAGTGGAACGAGCGCGTCCTTGTGATTTCACGTCCCCAAGGAGTGTCTAACGACGCCCCTAGGAGTAGTGGTAGCAAGGTAGTGAAAGGCGAAAAAGGAATTTAAGAGAAGAACATAGTGTAGTTTTATATATATATATATATAAAAAAGGGAAAAAAAAGAAAAAAAAAAAGAAAACAAAGAAAGGAAAACTAACATAAAGATATCACGAAATGGAGGGATGGAGCGGAAACGCCGGGCGGGTAGCGTAGCGCTCCGGTGTTTTCGTCGGCGCACGCGTTTAGCGCGGGCGGCGCTGCCCTGTCGCCAACTTCGCCACCGAGACGGAGCGCGAGAGCCGCCTTGCACACTTACGCATCGTGAGTAGGGCTATGCCCGGGTGCACAGGTAGGCATCAGGGTAGTCTGTAGGTGTAGGTGGAGGTATGAGGAAGTAGCAGTTGGTTTTCGAGCACCATAGTTGTGAAAGTATCTCCGGACTTGGCGGAATCTATTGTGATGGTAGGTAAGGCGTCCTATGACAACAATGCTTCACGTTCATCGCCTCCTTCTTGGAAAAAGGGCTTGTTTTTCTTGAGGCACAAACTTCTCGGAGAGTGACTCGGTGCGGAGACCTCCGGTGTAGGAGCAATGCCCGTATTGAGTGGTCACGGTGGTACTGCAAGGCAGGGTTCTAAGTGAGATCATGCCATCAGTTGTGTGTGCGAAAAGTAGGTGTGTGTGGTAAATCTGAGTATAACAATCTGCATACTTCGGCCTCGGGGGTAGTGATATCGAGGGAGGCCATAGTATGGTAAAGGCCGGATTAGGTTTTACTGAAGGGAAGAGGAAGGTGCGATTCGGTTAATTCCGATAGTAGTGTAATTACCTCAGCACAGTGAACTATATTTACGTTTCAAATCGGTAATCTCTCCGTTAATTTCTACAATCATGAGACGAGGCCGGAGATCCCAGGTGAAGTACCCTCCACCAGGCGCCCCACGGGCGGAAATGTTACGCAAGCTCTATCGAAGTCACACTGCGATAGATCTTTCGGAGTAAAGGCGCCATATCCCATGTTTTCACCATTTGGTCTATGCATTCACCGGAAGAGTTACCCCTCTGTTTCGTTACGCCTGGGCGGTAAAAAAAGGATCAACGAGGCCGTAGCATGCCGCTATGCTGCCCAGGCGGATCCTCAGCTCTGTCGTGGTTGATCCGAACGAGCGAGAGTTTTTGCGGGGTAGTTATAGGATGCACCTGGTCAAAGGGCAGAGTTAGATCCATGCTCTGGTGATGCACATGGCAAGAGCCACAGCAGAATTCGGGGTCCGCGCCTACTAGATTGGGAGATTGGCAGTGCTCGCTACTACGGAACTGGTTCCTTTGGCCACCTGGCTCGTTCCGTTCAAGTGGATGAGTGCGGGACGGATGGGTGACGAACCTGGTCGAGGGGAGGGGTTAGTCCTTCTCAATCTCCGACAGTGCACAGGGCGAGCGTCACAGTGGTCTCTCGAAACCCGAGCCCATTAACGGGAGAGGATGGCAGCGTTTACATCTCTAGAACAGAGTAGAGATTTCCGGGGTAGACCTTCGGGGTTGTTCCTGGCGGTAATTCGCGTGTTGATGTATAGAGCGGTAGGGGTGTAACGCTGCTCATGGTAAAGACATTGAGAGAATCAGAAGTCGCCAGGAAGGAAGGGTGGGGTGCTGAGTCACGTACCTGAAGTGGGTGTAGTAGTACGGCCGCCTTTCGAAGAAGAATAGTAGCGAAGGTGCTAGACACATGGTTCCGGTCATCGTGACAATTCGGAGTGGGCAGGGCTGCCAGGAAAGAGGGAAGGGAGCATAAGGAATACGAAGTTCCAGTCAAGGTGTCCCTCCTCAGAGAAAACGCTCAGTAGGGAGGGATCTAACGGGAAGCTGTCCCAGAAAAGGTGTATGGGTGGCAAGTAACCAGGGGAAAGCAGGAACTGTGAGACATCCTTTGCTGTAAAAATACAGAATGGAGAACGAGCTCGAAAAGGTGAGGGATTCAGTGGGGCGGTGTTACGACGAGGGAATTTGCCCGGAGGGATTGAACCTGGGCAAAGTAGTCGAAGACGGTGAAGGAAAGAGATTTGTGGTGAACGAGTCAATAAACAAAGTAAAAGATCAGTGGTTGAAGGAGAGATCTGTGATAGTGGTTTTTCAAGGGGAGGCAAGAAATTTGGCACGCTAAGTAAAGGAAGATTTGATCCGGGCTTTCGAAGATGGCTGGACTGTAAAAAGGTTGTTCCAACCGGAAGCAAGAAGGGGCAGGGTGAAATTCGAAGGCCCGAACGTGGCCTCATATGTGCCTAAGGCGAAGGAGATTGCAGAGTAGATCATCCAGCAAAAAGAGTTACACATCAAACTGGAGAACAAAGAGTATCTAGTTTCCTTCAAGCCACGACTATCACAACAGGAGTTGAAGGAAGTTAAAATTTTAGAGGCAGAAACCAACTTTTGGATTATGGCCCTACGGGTACCCCTAGATGCATACTACTTCCTACACAGTGCGGTAGTTGGTATCTTTCGGGAGGTTTTAGCCATGCACAATCCAGAGTACGACCGTGACCAGCCCAAGCTAATGAATGTTAAGTTTGATATGGCTCCAGAGGCACGGTTCAGAATAGATGATGATCTAATCATCCAGTTCCCAAAAGGGGAACGCTGGAAGGTTGAAATCGTTACACCATACACAGACTGGTGTCGCCGGTGCCGCTGGTACTTTCACACAGAGACAAACTGCCCGCGGGCCAGACAAAATGAGGAGAATAGAAGGGTGAACGGGGAAAGGCAAGGGGGTCATAGAGTGAGATTCAGAGAGTTTTTCAGAGGACAAGAACAGGTGGGGAGAGCTAATCATGCACTCAGAAGGGGAACTCACGAGGTCAGTACCTCTCAAGCCCACCAACAACAGCCAGCGGCAAGGACGTCAGCTCAAGTTCGCTCCCCAACGCATCAGCGAGATGGCCAAACACAACGGCATCATGAAGAAAGAGAACAAGGTCAGCAGACCTGGAGCCCAGAAGCCTCGGCACAGCTTGACACCCAAGGAGTGGGACCGCATATGCGTACAGGGCATTGGGGAGACGATCAAGTGGGGGATCCGGGTACTCTTCCTAGATGGGGAGAGGCTCAGTCTGCTGGAGCTCTCAGGGGGGGAATTGGAAGTCAAGGTCAGGCCTGTAACCTACGGGCGGATTTCGGTACGGGTCAACCGGATAGAGAATACGGAGGTGGTTACCTGCAAACCAACGGGAGAAGGGGTGAGGATAACTACGCCGGAATAGGACCCGGTCCTTCACACCAATGGTTCCCAAGGAACAACCGCCCAAATGTGGGCATAGAGTTGGGACAGTTCAGAGAACAAACGCAAGACCAAGGGGCCCCGTACTCATCGACAGCTTCAATCTGGCAACAACAACAACAAAGTTTTTACCCTCCTGCAGGGGAAAGCATGCCGTTCTAGTGGCAGGACAACTTGGGGCATGCCAGGCATCAAGGGTACATTGATCACCCGCAGCCTAGGTATCCGTCAACAGAGTATGAATGGCGGCGCCTAGCAACAATGCCTCCGAAGAGACATCCAGAGGCAGTGGATTATCCTAGGTGGGAGGAGAGGAGTGCGATGACCAGGAGACGTCACCGCAACAATAGATCAAAATGGGACACGGAGAAGGACGACAGCAAATGGAATAGAGGGGAGAGTTCCCAGTTGTGGAGGCAAAACGAGCCGGTGCGTTTCCAACCCATTAGGGAAGAGGAAGCAGCAACTGGGGGACCAGTGGGGGGTCAGAGAGAAAACGTGACAGAGGTACAGGAGAAACTATCAAAAACTTCAATCACTTCTCACTCAAAGGTAAGGTGGGGGAGCGAGGTTGGAGAGTATGGAATGGAGCAGGAATTCTCCCAGAGGCCGGCGTCCTCTTCCTCTTCCTCGGTAGAAAGTTCGGCAGCATCGAGATTGAAACAGGGGTTAGAGAGGAAACAAACAGTGGACAAGAGTAGAAGAACAACGGCCCTGGACAGGAATCAGATGGAGGCGGTACAACGTTGCCTGGTACCTATCTTGTGTTTACGGATAGAGGATATCACTCTGTTCCTGTCCTTGGTCGGGGAAGATGGATCTCCAGTGATCCCCTTAGCTGTGGTAGACTGCTGTCCGACGCCGACAAAAATACTGGAAGTGACGAAGCAACTCTACGGCGAGCACGTTCCGGTGCGGCTAATTCCGCATTCCATAATGGAGAGCGTGATCTTGGAGACGGTACAGGGCTATGTCAAAATGTACTTTCCCTTGCTGGATGTCAGGATCCCACCGGAAGTAGCAGGTTCGCTGGCCTAATCAGGGGTCAGATGTTTCAGAATGAATCTAATCAGGGAGAGGAATATGGCGGAGCTATATTGCATCTAAGTATGTCCAGGAATTTCAGCGCAGGTCTTACTCAAAGTTAATGAGAAGCTATTGGAGGAGGAGAACCTACTCTCTATGTTTTTAGTGAATCGCCTCTCCGAAGAATGGCGGGCGTAGTCTTCCAGATCGGGCTCATCGAGGGGCAGCTCAAGCCACAGGTCAAGACAGAGGGCGTCCCGGTCTAAAACAGCGGCGGCACAGGTCGAAGTTCAACAGAGCATCTCCCGCATCCAAGATCAGGCGGGCACAACAGCAGAC